TGGGGAGGGGTGCAGGCCAGCTGCAGGGTGCCGACCAGCCTGGCCAGGAGAGGGAGGAGCAACAATAGACCCAGCCCCCACCAAGTCATCCCTGCTGGGAGAATTTGCTTTCTGACCTCCTGCTGCAAAGGTGCGCTGGATTTGCCCGGGAGTTGGGGGCCTTGGTGGTGCAGTGATGCGGTTGGAGATATTCTGGGAAAGAGGAAGCCGGTGGCACGCTCGGCTTAGCCCTGCGGTGCTCTGTTGTGCATTTCGGGATGGGGTGGGATGTGGCAAGGCAGGAGAGCAGCCCTCTCTGTGCTGCATGCCCCTGCCCGAGGGGTCTGTGTAGAAGCACAGAGGACCCCCACAGACCATCTCACACCTGCTTGCTCCCAGAGCAGCCTTTTGAATTAGTGTGGCCTGCAGTGCCTGGCTCTGCACAGGGAGGACAGAGTTCTGTGTATTTGCTCTTCAGTTGACAAGCACCTGCCCCATGGGCAGATCATGTGACCAGGAGGTAGAAGTTCATCCTTAGGTCTGACTGAAATACCTCCAGTGGGGCCTCAGGAGAGTTGCTGGGCAGTTCTCTTCCCTCCTGCCCTCAGCCTTTGGGGAGGCTACCCCTGGGAGCAGAGATGCAGAGAGAGCTTCAAGTCCTCCTGTGTCAGGACTCCTCCTGGCATCTCTTCTCTTGGGCTCGTGCTGATGTCTGGACCCAGAAGTTTCAACTGCGTTGGAGACCCAGGAGAGAGAATGGCTGGTCCGTGGCAGGTCTGGGGAGGCCTTGGTGGGCAGCTTAGAGAAAGCAGGGAAGGGTCCAAACTCACAGCAAGGGAGAAATGGCTCTGGTCACAAGACTTCAAGGACTGATGCCACCTCTGGGCTGCTCGGGACAGTGACTGACTGCAGCCCTGCAGATCAGGGGGGCTGCAAGGGCCAGGTGGGAGTGGAGGGAAACTTCTGGCCTCCCTCTCAAAGGCCTACTTGCTGTGCCTCTCCCACCCCAGACTGGGCCCACTCCTGTTCCTGGGAACTGAGGTGGCCTCCATGCCACTCTCCAGTCCAGTGCTGGCTCTGCATGGCCTTACCATTGTCCCAGCCAAAGCAGACTATGTCCCCACTTGCCCCAGGGAGCTGAGGGGAGGGAGGGGCAAGAGCACTGGACTAACCCTTGTGAGCACTGGAACCCCTGTCTCCTGATGACCCCTCCAGTCTCCCTTCCTGGCCTCCAGAGGTGCCCCTGGGTGACAGTGAGCCAGCATCTCAGCAGCTGAGTTCTCCATCATCAGTTCTTGTCTGAAGTTCTTGTCTGAGCAGGGGAAGGGAGACACCATCCCTGTCCTCCAGTGGCTGATGGCTCTGGGAGCCATCTCTAGAGGTAGTGAGTTCCCTCTCACTAGGTGTAAGCAGGAGGTAGCTTGGTGAGTGTGCTATCAGTTGTGGCAGGCCCCAGTACTTGACTGTTGCTAGTCACTTATGCGCTCGGGGACACGAATGCTGTGTGGAGGCCTTAGGTGTAGGAGTCAGTGTGTGAGTTCTCAGAGCTAGTACCTGGGGTACAGGTGTACTGAGATGCTCAGGGATTTTGGTATGCAGAGGGTGAGCACATGTGTGTGAATATGCACATGGGCGTGTGCACACTCTGGCACCTCATGTGTACGCACCTGCGTCCCTATGAGAGTAATTACACACGGGGAGAGGTAGATTGTAGGCCATCCAGGTTCAACGGCTGTGCAAGGGGTGTGTGTCTTCGTGCATCTGCAGAGGGCAGTGTGGGCCCAGGAGCCAGGCTGGGCTGTGAGGGAGCTGGAAGGTCATAGCCTGGGACATTGGACTTGGGGCCCCCTTTCCTCTGAGCCCTTCAGACTGTACCTGCAGGTCTTGCCCCACTAGGACTTCCTCTTGCCCACACCAGGCTCTGAAATAGCAGGGTGACAGCTGTTCTCCCACCCTGGTTCCCAGGTTCCTAGGTTCCCAGGAATGGGATATGGGTCAGGCCTGGGGGGGGCTTGATGGGGTGCTGGCCTGCCTCAGTTCCCCCTGCTTGTCCTAACCCTGCTGACCTGCTCAGGGCTGGCCCAACCTCTCCACCCCCCACATACTCCGCCCAGCTCTGGACTCTGATCAGAGCATCTGGCGAAGGCCAAAGGGGAGGGCCTGTCCACCCCCCAGCATGCACCCTGGGGGCACCAGGGTGCAGAGATTTCTGCAGGAGGGTGTGCTCTGGCCAGACCTTCCCCATGCTGACAAGAAAGCCTCAGAGGAGGCAGGCGGGAGCCAGTGAACTGCAGTGCGAGGTGGATCCTGGGAATTAAGAGTAGGTAGGGCAGGGTGGGGGGACGGGCTTCTTCACAGGCTGGGGCCAAGGCAGGCCCAGCTACAGGGCACCTGCTGTGAGGAGTGGGAGCCAGCGGGGAGGGGCGACCTGCGGCTCAGCAGAGCACAGCAGCCTGCGCTGTGGCTGCTGTGGCTGTTGCCTGGCACCTCTGCGTTGCCATGGTGACGATGGAGGTGCTAAGTTGCTAATGAGTCCCCCTCGGCTGCAAATAACAATACTATAGTGGCTAATAGGGCCAAGCCTCAGCTCCGAGGGTTCCTGGGAGGCAGGGCAGGGACCAGGTACTAGGCCTTGAGCCACCTGCCCACCTCTCCAGCTCCCACCCAGGGCCCTGCAACCAGACTTGCCCTTCCCTGCCCTTCCCTCTGGGTCAGGCCTTCCACCACCACCCTCCTAGGCCTGCGCTGGTTGCCTGTCTTCTGAATGGGCACCTGTCCATCCCAGCTTCCTTCAGGGCTGTGTAAGGGCCAGGGCCTGTGAGTGCTGGGCCTCTCCCAGCTGCCTGTCCTTCTGTACTGGGCGTCCTCTGCTTCTGTTGCTTCAGGTGAGAGCATTGCCCACTTAGCAGGTGAGGATGTTGAGGCTCTGGGGTGGCAAGCCTGGGGACCCCCAGCCCCCAGTGTCCCTACCTCACTGTGGCCTGCTCTTGCTCTAGCCGCCCAGGGCAGAAGTTCTGCCCAGGCCTGCACAAGCTGCTTTCTCTTGTCCAGAAGACCTGCTGGCCCTTCACCAACTTGTACAGGATTCAGGTTAGAATTGAGGAGAACTTCCCAAGACAGTTCATATAGGAATTAAATCTGTAGGCAGGGCCCCCTTCAGGAGGCAGCAATCCCCTCAGCAAGTAGGTAGGAAACCCCTCACTCAGCAGGCAGGGATTGTCACTGCTGAACTGGCCCCAGGGAGAAGCAGCAATCCTGGCCTTCCCCCAGTGGAGGAATGAGGAGAGATGGCAGGCATGGGAATCAGTGAGTGGGACTCACGGTCCCCATGCCCCTGTGCTGCCCCTCAGCACTCCACAGTTTTGTGGCTCAGCATACGGCTACCCTTCTGGCCTAGTGAGGCCAGCTGCGGCAGGGCAGGAGGGGAGAGGTCAGGGGCTGAGCTGGAAGTGCCCGAGGAAAGGAGTTCTGGGGGTGGCCAGGGGCAGCAGGGCTCCATCCTGCCCCACTACATCTGTTGGTGGCTGTGTCGAGGCTCCTCTGTACCCGCCTAGCTACTCTGCCCCCCTCTCTGGGATTCTGCCAACAGCCGTCACCCACTGGCCTAAGAGCTGACCCAGGGGATAGAGAGCAAGTGGCAGCTGTCACTGTGGTCCCCAGCTTCATGGAGCTGTTTGTAATGTCTTGAGGTCAGGTGTGCCACTCCAGGGCCCCACGTGGCTGTGGGTTGAGGGCTCATTGAGGGGGTTTTGCCCACCTTGTCCCTCTGCTACAGGCTCTGGGGTACGCCCTGGGCTGGTACAGATATGGTACAGTACAGACCTCCACTGAAAGGCTACCATGGCACTGGGGGGCTGGAGCCACGCGGGGCCACCCAGGACCCTGGGTTCTGTCCAGCCTCCTTGTGTGTGACCTGGGTGGGTCTCACCCCTGCCCTGAGCCTCCTTTTCCCCATATGTAAAGCAGACTTGTCATCCCTGACACTGTGTCTGCTAAGGGGCTGTGAGGCTTGAGGGCACCTAGAGAAAGGCCAGTGCTGGCCGGTGACAGGGGATATAGGACTTGACACCAAGCCTGCAGGAAGGGCTTCCAGTGTCCCCAGGTGCCTGCCACCTCTAAACACCCCTCAGCCTGAGGACATTTGGGGCCATGCTGAGGACCTCCGGGGCTCTGACCTTCATCTGCAGGCTGCCCTGAAGGGGCCCTGAGACCCCAGGCCGCTGCTGCGCCGAGCACTGCCCTGCACACCCCACAGGGGCCATGCACTCACCCCCACCCCTTTGTGCAGCAGGTAGCGTGGGCCAAGCCTCAGCCTGCAGAACTGGGGCAGTGCAGTCCCTGTCCTCACATCCAGGCTCCTCCTCCAGCACCCTGGCCTTCAGCATCCAGGAGCCATAGCTAGCAGAGGCAGTGCCAGCCCCCGCCCCCACCAGGGTTGGGATTATCGGCTCAGAGAGCTGCCCTGGGAGATGAGCCTCTAGGGATTGGCCTTGTGGCACTGTGCCAGGGAAGGAGGGCAGGGGCAAGGGCAGCTAGCTGGGCGGAGGGCAGAGGGGCGAGGGCAAGCTCTGGACCCGTCTTACTCGGGGTGGGTAGATAAGGAAGAGGCCAACGGGCCAGAGAACAGAAGAGTGTAGATGCATGCCAGGGTCCAGAGGAAGGACCCTGGGGACAGTCTGGACCCTTTTTCTGGGTCCCTCTTACCCTCCTCTGCCTCCTTGTGCCTTGAGCAGCTGCTGATGCCAGGACTGGACAGTGCAGGGGCTGGACAGGGTCTCCTGTGTCCTCCACCCTGGGTGAGACTGATGCGTCTGGGACAAAGTGCTCCAGGTGCATGTCCGGGTTCCAGCTCCAGCCTGCCCAGGAGTCTCTTGCCCCCCCACCCCACCCCGGGGCCTGTGGCGCTGCTGACAGCCTGCCTCTCCCTCAGGTCTGGCACCATGCACTAGGGCAGTCTCCACGCCGCAAGGCCGTACCCTCCTCACTTCAGGGTCACCCTCCCCACCACACACTGCCCCACCATGGCCGGGGACCGGCTCCCGAGGAAAGTGATGGACGCCAAGAAGCTGGCCAGCCTGCTGCGAGGCGGGCCTGGGGGGCCTCTGGTCATTGACAGCCGCTCCTTTGTGGAGTACAACAGTTGGCACGTGCTGAGCTCCGTCAACATCTGCTGCTCCAAGCTGGTGAAGCGGCGGCTGCAGCAGGGCAAAGTGACCATCGCGGAGCTCATCCAGCCCGCTGTGCGCAGTCAGGTACCCTTCGCCTGTCCCCGAGAGTGTCCCCGTCACCTCTTAGTGCACAGCAGAACCTCCTCTGCCCCTGAACCCACACTGGGCTGTCTTGCTCATTTGCCAGCCTCCTGCCTGTCTGCGTGCCCACTCAGATCATCGAGGTGGTGGGCTTGCCACACCGAGGTGTAGCCCCTCACAGGGTACAGAGAACGACGAGAGACACAGGGGCCAGGGGGCTGACACACACGCAGGCACAGCTGGGTGGCCACTCTGACTGCCATGAGGGCAGGAGGAGTGGTCTGGGGCCCACGCTGAGCAGTCCATATGGCTAGCTTCCCAGTCCTTCCCTCACCCCCGGGGTCTTCAGTGAGCCAGAATTCTCTCTGTGGCCCCCCAGGAATGTCCTTGCAGGAAGGAACAGTTCATTTGGACAGTTCATTTCTCCTCAGAACCACTGAATCCAGCTACTAGGGAGGGACACTGAGCCAGTGACCTGTGTGGGCAGCAGCAACCCCTCCTACCACCTTAGGTTGGGGCAGCCTGGAGGCTTAGGGAGCATCCTGGTCACAGTTCTTCCCCACTGCAGGCTGGGATGTGAGAGGAGCCAGGTGGGATGGCTGCTTGTCAGGAGTCCCCACTCAAGGCCAGAATGGCTCCCCGTGGCTCCAGTGAAGGGAATCCTGTGATTAATCACCCCCAATGAGGACTCCCGGCCAGAGTGCAATCCCATTGGCTGCCGATGACATCATCCAGCCAGGGTTGGTGGCTCAGCTGGCTTAAGGACTGAGTGTGCTTGGGGGGTGGGGACCTCAGCCTGTCTGAGCAAAAACGCTCAACATCTGGCCCCAAGACTGGCCTGTGGGGTAGGGAGGAGGGCAGCAGGAGCCCCAGGCCTGCATCCTGGCGTGGCAGGTGGGGTCCCCTGCAGCCTCAGTTCCTCCATCAAGGGGCTGGAGGGGAGAGGAGTCAGGTGGGCCAGCAGTCAGCTCACTGAGCCTGGACCCAGGGCACTGCTTTGAAATCCAAGAAACATGCTTCTAAGAGCCTGAGGATGGCTCAGCCACCCTGGAAGGCAGCTCAGACCTCGTACATGTGGCACAGGACCTGTCACTCTCCTGTGTCTCTGACATGGGCCTGGCCACAGTGGACAGCCACTCTATTTCCTTCATCACGAGCCCCTCTGTCTTTCCCTGGTCTGATGCCTGTCTGCAAGGCCATGGGTGTTTGCACCTGCCCAGGTGGGGTATGTGTGTGTGTGTGTCTGGGCAGGTGAAGGAGAATGTGTGAGAATGTGTGGCGGCACCTGCCCACCCTCAGGGAGCAAGGTGACAGCACCCCCTCCTCTGGGCCTCTGACCCCTCACTCTTTCCCTGAACCAGAGGCAACAGGCAGTGGCAGGACACAGGGCACCTGATGGGTGCCCATGGCGCCCTGACCTCTGCCCTCACGGTCCCCAGGTGGAGGCCACGGAACCACAGGACGTGGTGGTCTATGACCAGAGCACTCGGGACGCCAGTGTGCTGGCAGCAGACAGCTTCCTGTCCATCCTGCTCAGCAAGCTGGACGGCTGCTTCGACAGTGTGGCCATCCTCACAGGTGAGCTCAAAGGGGCCCCTGCCGGGACACCTTCTCCTCTTTCCCCACTGTCTCCTTGGCTGGGATGGGGTGTCCAAGGAGGCCAGTGTCTGCTGGGGCAGTGGGAAGGCTTCAGTGCCTCTAGTTCTCACGCTTCAGGACCTGGGTAACCTGGCCTGCCGCCATGGTCAGCAGGTAGAAAGGTAGACAGGAGGAAACCCTAAGGCCAGTTCTTTTAGAGCAGGGCCAGGGACCCAAACTCTGGGTCACAGGGCAGAGGCAGAGGCCCCACCCTTGGGAATCTGTCTGAGCTAGAACTGGTCTGTACCAAGGGGGTCTCCCTGAAGGCCACAGCTGACCACAGCCTGCTTAGCCAGGGCTGCTGCCTGGGGTTACCTGTTCTGCATCAGCAGCCCTGGCCCTGTGGCTCCACACTGGAGACTGAAAGCCCTTGGCACACACACACACACACACACACACTCACTCACTCACACACATGCACACTCACAGGCAATGGTGAGAGGGATTCTGTGGGATCTACTTCCTGGGGAGGTGGCCCAGGTCCCAGAGGAGCCAGATGGTGTGTCCCAGGAATGCCCACGCTCCCCCCCTGGGTCTGAGGTTTTTATCAGCATTCCCGCAACCCAACCTCTGTGCACCACAGGGTGTAGCAGGCAGGTGGAAAGTGGAGGCTCAAGACAGCACATACCCACCCTGTGGAGGACAGTGGGATGGCCAGTGAGCAACCAGGCTGGCCCTCTGGCTTTGGTACCTAGCAGGCACAGTGGCCCCCAACCCAGGCCTTGGGGACCTGCAGACCACATTAGTCAGGCTGCTGGGTAGGCCTCCTGAGGGGCATCTAGGAGGCTTGGGGTTCTGTACCACATGCAAGGTACTTGCTATAGTCTCTTGTGTCTGAATGAGTTGACACCCACCCTGCGGTCACCGTGCTGGGCACCTGGCAATTGCAGCCATGTGTCCCACTTGTGATGTCTGAGGGCATCGGTGGTTTGCGGTGCCTGTGTGTGAACTTGGGACCCATAAGCACAGCACAGAGCTGCACACCCTGGAATCTAGTCCTCTTCCCCTAGGTTACCGTTTGGAGGCCAAGTCAGAGTGGAGGGAGGGAGGAGTCCTGGGCATAACAGGAACCCTTCTGGGTCCAGCTTGCCACCCTCGCCAGGAGTGGGAGCCATGAGGCTTTTCTGAGAGTCAGAAGTGGGTCTAGAACACACCTCCCTGATCTGCTTAGGGAGGGGGCCAGCGCTCAGAAGGGCCTACCTCCCTGGGGGTACGGGGTGGGAGGCTGGGGTTTGCCTGGCGGGCATGGCTGGTCTTGTCTGTCCCTACCCACTCAGCTCTCAGCTTCCACCTGCTCTTCGCTCTCTGAATATCCACCCCTACCAGGTCTACGTCTGTCCCCAGTTCTCAAACGGCCTAGCCAGGAAGGAGGCATGGTCCCATCACATGAGGTGGGCTCATGGCGACACCAAGTCAGGACTCGAGTTCAGGCCAGCCTCCTGGCCTTGCCCACCAGCCCTCCTCCCTCAGGTGGGCATAGCCCCTGCTCTGAGCCAGCCCTCCCCTGAGCAGTGAGAAGGAGGGGAGTGGGGAGTAGGGAGGGAGCTGCCTGCCGTGACCACCAGCAGGGGTGCCTGGTCCCGGCTCCTCTGTTGTTCACTCCTGGGCCCGGGCGAGAGGAGGGCCAGGGAGAGGAGGGTGGCACAGTGGAGGGAAGGGGACGCCCTGGCAGGGCAGATCTGCGGCAAGCAGGAGCAGCACTGTTAATCCAGGGTCTGCCACTGTGACCCAGCCCCCACTCCACCGCTGCTACAGGCTGTCCTGTCCAGCAGGGGCAGGGACAGGAGAGGGCCTAGCTCTTCAAAGCAGCGGTGTGCCCTCCCTGGAGCCAGTGCCTGCTGGAGTGTCGGTCCTCCAGAAGGAGGGCAGGTAGTGTCACGATAGTGCCCCCAACCCAGCCCTTGCAGCCCAGTCCAGACACCCCAGAAGGCCCTCTACCCCCACGGGAGCTGCAGCAAGAGCCCTTCCTGAGTCCAGAGGGACTGGGAACCCTTTCGGGCTCTGTGCTCCTATGCAGGCAGCTGCGAGTCTGGGACCCTGTTCTCGGGGCAGCAGGAAAGGTGAACGTGGGGTCTGTCTGGCGGCACACATGCCAGTACCTGCCCTTTGGCGTGTGTCTGAGATTTCCTTGTGGCTAGCAGGTGTGCCCTCCATGACCCCAGAGAACAGGCAGCCTTGGTGGGCTGTAGGAAGGTGTCCTTGGGAAATGGCTGGAGGCTAGGGAGGCTCCTAGGCCCCACAGAGACCCACTCATTAAAGTTTGGTGCCCCTCCCTTGCCAGAACATCCCCAGAGCCCTGACAGCTCTGAAATCCTGAAACCTAGAGACTCTATAGAAACACCCAACTTGCCTGGCTCTGCCTGGGGGTCCTGGGAGGCTTCCCTGGGACATGGCTGAGAAGGCTACCAGGTGGCCACACATGCCAGAACTTCCCTGCTTTGGGAGGAGATGGGGGGGGGGCGGACTCTGATGGAATCCACACCCCATGCTGTGGCCAGGGGCAGGGAGAGCAGAGAGGTCCCTGGGAGAGTCGGGGAGAAGCATGCACTGGGGAAGAGTCTGGAGAGACCCAACCCTCCCAGGTCCTGACCTCTGCAGGAACATGCAGGGCTACCCTGGCTCTGGGCTGTGAGCAGGAGCGCGCCCCCCTGCCCCCTGCCCCCCGCCAGCCCCCACAGCACCCAGCTCAACCTCCCCTCAGGGGACCTGTGAGCTGCAGCACTCCCAGTGCCAACATCACCTGCTCCTTCCTGTCCAGCCAGCAGTTCCTAAGGAAGGAACCACTTCTCCTCCAAAGCTAGGGCCTGAATGCTCCCAGGTCATCTCCATGCCCCCTCCAAGTCAAGCCTTCTTTGGGTGTACAGGAAGCCCACACAGCACACATTCTGGGTGGATATTGTATCAGCTATCTGTGAGCTGGACCGGGGTGAGGCCAAAGTGCCAGACTTCTCTGTCCTCAAGAAGTATGGAGGTCCCTGGCACCCACTCCTGAAGACCAGGGCAGGAAATAGCATGGGTATTCCCAGGCCCAAGACCCTGCCTCCACTTTCCTGCCCTTTCCCATGGGATGGGGTGGGTCTGAGCTACTGTCTCATGTGCTAGATAATCGGTTGAGGCCAGAAACAGGAACCCACTCGCTATGAGGGTTGTCTCCCAAGAAATGTGGACACCCCAGGGAATTCTAGACAGGTCTCAGCTTGCCCTATCAAGAACTGGTGGCCACTGGATGGGTGCTGCCCAGTGCCTGGTCAGACTCAGCAGTCACCCCAGCCAGGTCAGGTGTGGCCAGGTCCATTCTCCTGTCTCCCTAGTCACTCTTATCTTTGAGCTGCACAGCAATGCTGTGTGGCAGGCAGGATAAGGAAACTGAGGCCAGAGGCCTGCTGTGCCCTGTGTGGCTGAGTCAGACACACCAGGGACTCCTGCTTGAGTCTCTTCAGCCGTCAGTGGAAGGTTCCCTTCATAGTCTGGGGCCTGGGACTTGCCTGCACCTGGAAGGTGGCAGGGCGCACGCCTGCCATGTGGCAGGGGCAGATGCTCCCTGTGCCCAGGTTTCTCCTGTTGGTGAAACAGAGCTCCGACCAGAACACAGATGTCCCTGCGGGCTATGCCAATCCTAGTGGGTGATGTCATGCCCGGGGCAGGGAAGGGCCCTCTAGAAGCCCTTACCTCGGAGGCCTGGCACCAGAGCCCAGGCGTGGGGCTGCCAGCCAAGTGGAGTCAAGGAGGGATTGCATCAGTGCAGCAGAGGAGACGGGAGGCCTGGCCTGGCCCTGGGCCAGTGGTGTGCTGGGACTGAGGACGGTGCTTCTCCCCAAGCTGTGTGACCCTTGCCCTCAACAGGAGACCCTGTGGGGGTCGGAGCCAGCCCTTGCCTGGGCCATCGCATGCTGTGCTAGCTGGCCACCTCGACCCCACATTTATGGGCATCACAGCAGCATCCACAGTGGGGCCATCCCTTAATTAGTATGAGAAGGAATGTGGGCGTAGGTGCAGGCTGTAAATGGGCGGCAGCACGCGCCCCCAGCGTGGCAGAGAGGCCTGCCAGCAGGAGACCAGGTACCTGGGCCAGAGGCTGGCTGGCCAGCTCTGCGCAGGGTCGGTAGGGTGTGGCTGAGCTGCGGCAGCGGGTGCAGTGCCCGGGCTCTCTCTCCTGCCCCAGCTGGCCAGCCGGCCTGACGTGCCTCCCGTGCCTCCTCCTACAGGCGGGTTTGCCACCTTCTCCTCCTGCTTCCCTGGCCTCTGCGAGGGCAAGCCTGCCACCCTGCTGCCCATGAGCCTCTCCCAGCCCTGCCTGCCTGTGCCCAGTGTGGGCCTGACCCGCATCCTGCCTCACCTCTACCTGGGCTCTCAGAAAGACGTCCTAAATAAGGTGTGTGCACTGCTAGGGATTCTGGCTGACAAGGGAAAGAAGCAGGGGTTCAAGAGCTAACTCCTGGGGTAGCCTGGGGGAGGAAGAGGGAAGGGGCGATGGATGAACCAGGGTGGGAGAGCATGTGATGGGGGCACAGGACAACAGAGGGCCCCAGCCCAACGTAGCGGAGCAGGGCATGGGGGAGGCACCAGCAGGGCTGGGTGGAGAGGCAGGCTCCCAGCCCCTTCCGTGGTGGAGCTGGAGCCCGCATGCCAAACTGCTGATGTCACTGGGCCCCTGCCAGCTCTGAAAGAATCCCGTGTTTTAAAAATGGTGACAAGGGAAAAGGGTAAAGGCACCGCCCAGGCAACCATGAAATTCCTGGGAGCCTACCGCAGACTGTGGGCGGGGCTGCAGGGAGGCCAGCGGGCCCCCCCAGCTCTGGCTCAAGGCCTTTGGGCTCTGTGTTGAGATGGAAGGGAGCGCCTAGGCCCAGCCCCTTCCACATGAACCAGGACCAACTGGGGCTTGGGATCTAGGCTCAGGAGCACCCCAACACTCACGGCCTTCAGGCTGCAGAGAAGAAGAGCGTCTAACCCCACCAGGGGGCTTCTCTTTTCTCTGCCACCTCTTCAACCCATCCTCCTTCCCCTCCAGGATCTGATGACCCAAAATGGAATAAGCTATGTCCTCAATGCCAGCAACTCCTGCCCCAAGCCAGACTTCATCTGCGAGAGCCACTTCCTGCGCATCCCCATCAATGACAACTACTGCGAGAAGCTGCTGCCCTGGCTGGACAAGTCCATCGAGTTCATTGGTGAGGCTGGGTGCTGCTGCTCCCCTCCCAGGAGGGCAAGCTGAGACAGACGGGAGGCCAGGCACTGTGGCCACTCTGCTCAGGCAAGGGAGGGGTCCCTGAGAAGTAGCTGGGACTGTTGATACAGGTGTGTGTGGGGGGGGTTGCTACCAAAGGGAGGGAGGGGCCTAGCAATTTCAGCTTTCACTTGGTCCCCATGGTTCTGCTCCCAGATAAAGCCAAGCTGTCCAGCTGCCAAGTCATCGTCCACTGTCTGGCTGGCATCTCCCGCTCTGCCACCATCGCCATCGCCTATATCATGAAGACCATGGGCATGTCCTCTGATGACGCCTACAGGTATTGCACTCCTCCTGGGTTCCAGGTGCTTGAACTCAGCAACCTATGGCCCACAGCATCCCCTCCCTTCCCCTCTCCACCCACTGGCATCCGAATGGCCCAACCTCCTGCCCTGGCCAGGAAGGGGAAGTCGAAGTCCGTGGGCACACATCAGTTGATGTGTGGGACCTGGTGAGAGCCTCTCCCACTGACTACCTCTCCTTGCCCACTCCAGGTTTGTGAAGGACCGTCGCCCATCCATCTCGCCCAACTTCAACTTCCTGGGCCAGCTGCTGGAGTATGAGCGGAGCCTGAAGCTACTGGCTGCCCTGCAGGGTGATGCGACCCACCCTGGGACCCCTGAATCCCTCCCAGGCCCTGCGGCAGGGGTCCCACTGCCCCGGCTGCCACCACCTACCTCAGAGAGCGCTGCGACGGGGAACGCAGCGACTACCGCAGCCAGGGAGGGCAGCCCAAGCACCGGTGGGGAGGCCCCAGTGCCCATGGCCCGGGCTACCAGCGCACTACAGCAGGGCCTCCATGGCCTACACCTCTCCTCCGACCGCCTCCAAGATACCAACCGCCTCAAGCGTTCCTTCTCGCTGGACATCAAGTCCGCCTACGCCCCCAGCCGGCGGCCAGATTGCCCGGGCCCGCCTGACCCTGGAGAGGCCCCTAAGCTCTGTAAGCTGGACAGCCCGTCGGGGGGTACGCTGGGTCTCCCCTCGCCCAGCCCCGACAGCCCGGACCCAGCACCCGAGGCGCGCCCACGTCCCCGCCGGCGGCCCCGGCCTCCCGCTGGCTCTCCTGCGCGCTCCCCAGCCCATGGCCTCGGCCTGAACTTTGGCGATGCAGCCAGGCAGACTCCGCGGCATGGCCTCTCAGCCCTGTCGGCTGGACTGCCCGGACCAGGCCAGCCGGCTGGCGCAGGAACCTGGGCGCCTCCCCTGGATTCCCCAGGCACTCCGTCCCCAGACGGGCCCTGGTGCTTCAGCCCCGAGGGCGCGCAGGGGGCGGGTGGCACGCGGTTCTCAGCCTTCGGCCGGGCTGCTGTACCAGGACCAGGCAGTGACCTGCGGCGGCGGGAGGCGGCCCGGGCTGAGCCCCGGGAAGCGCGGACCGGCTGGCCCGATGAGCCGGCCCCCGACACGCAGTTCAAGCGGCGCAGCTGTCAGATGGAGTTCGAGGAGGGCATGGTGGAGGGGCGCGCGCGCGGCGAGGACCTGGCCGGTCTGGGCAAGCAGGCCAGCTTCTCCGGAAGCGTGGAGGTCATCGAGGTGTCTTGACCCCTCCGTGGGGTCTCCGCGCCCCTCTGCTGTCTTCAGCACTCCGGGCTCGGCCGCCAGTAGCCGGACCCAGTATAAATATATATTATATATAATGCAAAGAAAGGTAAATGGTTTTACTGCGATTTTTATCGAGAAGTAAATATTTCGATTTTTTTATTTATTTAAGCTGTTCATTCTGGCAATGATTTGGCAACAGTGCAGGGCGGGCCTCGGAGCTCTATTTTTACTGTCTGGTATTTAACTGAAACACAGTTTCTAAGCAATAGGAGGCCACCTTCAGTTGCAAGCTGGGTGCCAGGCTGGGGCCCCTTCCCGCTCCCTCCCCAGGAAACACTGCTGACCTTGCAAAGAGGCTGCCAGCTTTCGTGCACTTTTTACTTAAGAAAAAGGGGAAAAAGGAGAAAAAAAAAAAAACTTTGCCACAAACTGAGCCGCAGAACCTCCCTTTCCCCTCCTGCCTCCTTTCTCCCATGTCCCTTCTCTTCTCCCTTCTTGGGCTCTGCACCAAAGCCATAAGTGGGGGAGGGGCCCTGGGAGCTGGGGCCCTCCCAGGAGGTGCCAACCCCCAGCTCCAGGTGCCAAGTCTTGACTTGAGGAGCACCTTGCTGCCCACCACCCCATTGCTGTTCCCTGGCAGGTGTTGGTGAGCACTGGGTCCAATGGGGCTAGGGTTTTCAGAGGGGCTTAGCAAAGGGGACTCCTAAGAGTCAGGTACGGTGGCCTCCAGGACAGGGATGGGGTTGGAAATGGCTTCCCACTCCTGCCTGAGTCGCTCTGTTCCTCAGAATGGCCTCCATTCAGAGGAGGCTGCTCCCATCTCCTCTCCTTGGGGATGCCCCCTAAAGCCCCTGCCCAGGGGGAAGCCCAGTGAGAGACCTGGGCTCCCCGGGACTCCTGTGTCAAGCAGGAGGAGCCAGGCTAGCCAGGGCTCTGGGCCCGTCTGTGAGGAGGGCATGGGTTTAGGATCTTGTTCTGGGCTCTTCTCCAACCCAACACCAGCCTCAGGCAGGTCTTGGAATTCAGGTGGACACCTGCAGGCTGAGTGGCCTTGGAAGACAGGCCTGCCTTGCACAGGGAGTTCACACCTGCCAAACCTGCATGCTTCCAGGGGATGGGGCCTCTGACTTTGGGTGAGCCATCCCAAGGCAGAGGAAGGCCCCAGACAGGAGCAGATGCTGGAGAAATCCCCTTTTCTGCCCCAACCCCCACAGGGGCCTCTCAGGAGAGAAACCCCCAGTACACCCCTTTCCCAGGGCACTCTCCCTGTATCTTCAAGGTGACGTGCCAGCCCCACCCCCCAGGGGGCTTTTTGGCCCAGGAGGGCCAGCCTCCAGCCTCGGGATAAAGGCAAAAGAGAAACCCCCGTCACTGTCCCATATTCTCTTAAGTCATAGGGACACAAGGCTTTGAGGGCAAGATACAGGTCCCTGCCCCTCAGGTGTCCTAGAGTCTAGGATTTGGCTGTCACCTTAGGAAGGGGCCAAGGGCTTGGCCAGAGGGAGGCTCACGCAGGACTGGCTCCTGTAGCAGGCCTGGGTCCTGCAGCCTGCTGCCCCCAACACCCCCTCGGCCTTGTCTTTCTATTTGTTCTTCATTTGACCTACACTCTGTGTTCCTGTTGTTCCTCCTTTCGGCAAAAGTCCTGTTCCTGCTCCCTCTGTCCCACCCACCCTGTCCCCCCAAAAATAAGCTATCATTGTTGTATTTGCAATCTATGGATTAGAGGTTTAAGTATTTATTATTATTGGTTAATATTATTATTATTAATTATGTAAATTTGCCTCCTGTCTGTCGTGTTGGGTTTCTGAGGTGACCCTGGGTGTGGAGGATGCACTGGCTCCCCCCTCCTCGCCCCACCCCTGCTGTCCCGGAGACAGTGGTCTGGGGCCACTGGTTGAGCCCCCAAACTCTGGGGCAGGTCCCAAGGCCCCTTTCCTGCCCTCCCCAGGTGTGGCTTCTGTCCTGGGGTATATAGGGCTGGCAGCCTGTCTCTGCTCTCACTCTGTGACACTGGTCTTGGCTGCCACCTCCTGTATGCCAGGGAGGCTGGGCACAAGCTCTTCCCTGGTCCCTTTCCACCTACTGTCTGAGGTACGGAGGGGTCACTGGGTCCCATCCAAGCCTCTCCACCCATCCTACCCCACCCACCTGGCCACTGCCTGGCATTGAGATGGCCCAGAATGGACCTGGCCCCCTCCTATTATTTGCTGGAAAGTCCAGCGCAGGAGAAGCGGCCAGTCCCCCACCCAAGGCTCCCGGTCCCTGAGGACTGGGACGCCAGCCTGCTGCCCTTCAGACTCCTGCCCCCATGGGCTGCACTTTCCTGTTCCCTCCTTTTGTATTTGGAAACAATGTGCTGTAATAAATCCTAAGACGGATGTTTCCCAGAGCCTGGCTGCCTCTTTCTTCATGCAGGTGGTGGGCAGGGGTGGGGGTGGGGAGCAGTCTGGAAGCTCCCTGAGGCCAGGACCCTGGTGCATTGGGCCTGGAAAGGCTGCTTGCCTCTTGCTGTGTGAGCAAAGTGCTGGGGGAGGGGGCAGCTTGTCCCCTGTGGCCAGGATGAGGAGGGACTGGTCTCGGGTGCACTCTTACCCTGTAAAATATCCTTTTTTATTGTTACCTGCTAGTAAAAGTAGAAGACTTAAAAACTCCCCTCACCCACAGCCCCACTGTCAACAGCTGGATGCAGCCCTGCAGAGGTCTGTACCTGTGTGTGCATGCTAGATAGTAGCTTTCCCATTAGAAATGGGATCTACTAAGTACCACTTGTGCATGGTACCAGGATCAAAAGGACACAGGATATCTGGTGGAAAGTGCTGCCGTGTGTCCTACCCTGTGTCCAGCCACTGGGTTCCTCTCCCTGGAGGTAGCCTGGCCTCGGCTTGCACACATGCACCCCGCCCAGAGCATCCTGGTGTGCACCAGCTGCACAGATTCCACAGTGTGAGCGCAGCCCTTGGCTTGGGCTTATCGACTGTGGGGCATCACAGCCACGTGGCCGTGAGCATCCTCCCACGCTCCCAAGGGTGGACTTCCAGAGAATCTTTTCTATGTCTCTTCACATTGGCTCAGGAGTCAGTCCAGCAGCAGCTCGAATGTAGCCAGCTCTCAGGATGCACCAACCACCACTCAAAGTGCTGTCTGGAGTTTCCAGGCGGTTCCTCAGCAGATCAGCAACTGTGAGAGGTTTGGCTGATCCGTCCAGGGACCCTTCCCACTTTGCAAGCAGATATGTACTTCAAAGCAGTGATGCGACACCGGGTCCAACACATGCAAGTGTGTCTGTATGCACATGTGTGTGAGTACATGTGTGTGACATGTATGTGCAAAAGAGGAGGGGGAAGGGGTGCAGTTAGTCCTCTCCACAGGCTGCAGAAGACAGGTCCTCGAATCCTGCATCCTCAGGAGTCCTCAGAGAGGCTGAAAGCTGGGAGCATGGTCTGACTCCAGCGAGGCTATTTTTAGCTCAAGAACATCTATTTATAATCCTGACAGCCCCTAGGAGTCAATAAAACCAGGACTGGAAAAAGCTACTGATGTCTTGGGCACACAGTGTGCCCCACCCCATGCTCATGAGCACCTGCAGCAGCAGGGGGTGTAGTGCAGGGGTCTTACAGGCTCAGGACTCTGGTGACAGCGTGAGAATCCACACAAGTGTCGGGTAGTTGCCATTTACTGACTCAGCCAGGTTGAGGTCAACTTGACCAAGGGCAGCAGAAGAGATGGACATGCTAGGCTGGCTCCAGCTGCCCTTGACTACCATGTTGGGGATGCACAGAAGCTCCCCCAAAGCCATGACTCCCTGCTTCTACCCCGACACTTCTCTTAGGCACCTCGTGGCTTCTGGATGGGTGGGTAAAGGTAGAAGGCTGTGGGAGAGCAGATAGGTGGATGGATGGGGGGTGGGTAGACAGGAAGCAGAGAGGATAAATGCGTGAATGGATAGGAGGCAGGAGGATGGCTCTGGGGGTTGGAGGAGGACAGCAGTCCCTTTCTGTGAGTCTGTGTGTATTGAAGCTGTGTGCTGACCCCCATTCTCCCACTGTGCTGCCAAGAGGCTCCTGGTCCTTACACACAGATGGAACCCAGAAGACGTGCAATGAGTAAGGCACACACTAGCAGTCCCGAGGCTGGACCCACCACAGAGCCCAATTCAGCCCGCTCCAATGCCCAGAAAGAAGAGAAGGCTTGTCCTTCAGATGTCAGAGGCAAAATTGGGCTCCACTTGGTCCCTGTCTCACGGGTCCTGGGCCTGGCCTTGAGCTGCTGGTCTCATTGACCCTCCAGCCGCTGCAGCCCTGCCGGAGCTTCTGTGGGTGTGTGCACCAGGCACTGCCCAGGCTCAGGACTGAAGGGGCTCTGGGCAGGAGAGTGTGGAGGCTGGTCCTCAGAAGGGTTTCCTGGCCTCCAAAACACATTGTGCCTGAAAAGGCTGAGAGTGCAGGGGGGCGCTGCCGAGGACCACAGGGTGAAGAAAGGGCACAGGAAGCGCTGCACGGGGGAGGAGCCACACCGAGGCTGAGGGCCTCAGGCACAAAGCAGGGTGCTGCCAGGGAAGTCCTCTGCCAACACCCAGCAGGAGTCTAGTAAGTGTTCTTCATCCTTCCCAAACTGAATAAGGACTTGCCTGGCTTCAGAGCCTGCTGGTGTCCCCAGGTCGGCAGCAGCTGCCAAGGGGGTATTCTCTGAGAGGGCAGGGTCTGAATGAGCAGACTGGGAGGGGGAGCCTACTCTGGGGGAAGGGCTGAAGAAGAGGAACTCTGGAGTGGGAAGGGGCCAGAGCATATCTCCATGAAGGACCACCATTGGGACCCCAGAGGAGGTGACAGAGTCCAGCTGGCTGCTCAGTCCAGAGGCGTTCCCCCAGTGCCTTTGCAAACACCAAATGTGAAAGTCGAGTGCGGGAGGACTTTCCTGGGCAGCTCTTTGAGCAGAAGGGTTGGGAGCAGAGGGGAAGGCTTCTTCCCCTTTCCACGGGGAATCATGCAGCAATCCAGGGTCGGGCACCATTGGCATGGTAGGCAGAAGCCAGACTCAG